TAGAACACGGGGCCCAAACCATCCATGCATGATGCATGCCGTATATTTGCCGCTCCTCCTCTGATATGTATAGTTTGAAAATGCACGTACAATATATATTAGAATCAAGACCACGCCAGGACACGCCAAGTGTACGTGTGGGCTTATACTATTTTTTTTTTTTTAGGGAGGGCTTATACTGTTAGATAGTCAAGCAAAGGACGTATGGGCTTATACTATTAGCTAAGTGTATATATGCCAGTATGTGTGCTGATGCTACATAGCATAATTACGTATATATAGTGGTACCTTGCATACCGATCCGTCGGCCAGTAGTTGATCTGAATAACAGTCGATGTTTTCGTTTCACTATAACAAGAGGGGAGTTTTTTTTACAACTGTGTATCTCAGATGATGAATCTCAACTTTTAATTGTCGATTATCGATTAAACTGTTATCTTTTCTACAATTTGATAGACTCTAATCACCGTCACTAATAATAACAATCCATTCTATTTTCTAATAGGTTACAATACTATACCATCAAAAAAATACGTAAAATAACTTTCTAAATTTGCATCTAAATTACCCACATTTGTCATTATAAAACATAATTTAAATAACTTTCTAAAATCGCAAATAAGTTAACCACCTCTATCATTACAAGAATATTTTAAAAATAACCACATAAATTTGTATCTAGTTTACCTGCATTTGGCAATACAAAAGGACAATAATACAAAGTAGCCCTTGAGTTTAATTTGCATCTAAAAATTACCTGCATCTAGAATTATGAAGTATAATAATGCAAGGTAGCTAGACCTTTGTATCTAAATTACCAAAAAGCTGACATTATGACAGATAATATAAAGGACCATCTTTAATTGGTATTTAGATTACCCACCTTTGTCGTTATAAAAATAAAATAAATATCCATCGATCTACATATAAAAAACTAATATAAGATATTAAGAAAAAGTATTCGGTAACCATAAAGTATGTTGTATTTCTCCAAATTACATAGACAGTTTCTTCACAAAAAAACATAGATAGTTAAATTAAAAGTAAGCATAATGCTATTTGCCACCATATGCACCAAGTAACATGCACACATTATGATAAATATCTATTTCTAGTATTTTATTAAGCGTGGCAAAGGTTCTCTTAAAAACCATAGGCCAATGAAACTAACAAATCCATTATAATATATTTTGTACGTTGGGACTTTAAAAAACTTTTATATGTTTTCAAAAACAACATAAACACAAGAGTCTCAACTTAAACTAAGGATGAAAATGTAGCAACTTAATTTTTTTTTTGAGGAAAGCAACTTAAAAATTCAAATTTCGATAATCAAAATCTAGGTTGATAAGATCATGAGACATGAGATGCGATAGGAGCCACCATAATTTAAGCTAAGGACTCAACTAAATGCATATTAAAGATACATCTAGGTGCCATGCAAAGGAAAAGATCGAACTATATATATGGATAAAAATGTATATATTACCAAAGGGAGGAATTCCAATTGATAGAGAAGGCATTCTTCTTAGTCCCTTAAGTAATAAGTTTATCACTAAATAGAGATTACAAAGTATCTATATACCGATTGTGTTAGAAAACGAGCAAAGAGAAAAGGATGCAAATTAATAGAAGTATATTTTCTTAGTAAATATGAATGTCCAATAATGCTTCATAAGATTGTAATATGTGCGAAAGTATGGGTTGATGGACTAGACGGTACTTGCACCGGGCGATCAGAACTAAACTTAGGCCGCGTTAAGATCCAAACTCAAAATCCCAAAAAATGCTAAACGGTACTTGCGATACGTGGGAGCATTAAATGAACTAAAAAAAACTAATTGCACAGATGGGACGGTTTTAATTGGTCTATTTGAACACTAATTGCCAAATAAAAATGAACGAAAGAATCTAACAACGCTTAACAGATGGGACGGAAGTAGTATTTTCATTTTGAACGAAAGAATCTAACACAGGTAGAGTTGGTTAGCAGCAGTTATGTCCACCATTTAATAAACGGTAATTGCATCGGGCGATCGGCTCCGCCGGATCACAAGCCGCGCTCCTATTTAGGGTCGCTGCTAGCTGTCCACGTAAGATAGGAGCTGAGCGTTCTCCACTTCTCCTAGCTAGCAAACTCGCTATTGCGGCATGCATCATCGTCTCAAATTTGACAGATCTCAGGCCAATGCATGATTTACATATAGAGCTGTAAAAAGAACTAACACTGGCGAGAGTACCCGGCCGAATGTCCTGGCGAGAGTACCCACCAGCTAGCACAGCACATGATGCACGCCACGGCCATTGTCCTGAGCCCCTGACCCCTGACCGTTTTAGTATACCATCTGATGCGAGAGAAAAAAAAAAAGCAACTGTACATGCGGTCTACTTTTTTTCGCGACCGTATGCAGTCTACTTTTTTTCCGTGACCGTGCGTTAGCATGTATTTCATATTTTCATTAAGGCCCCGTTCGCTTCTATGAAAAAATAAATCAAAACATTGTTCCGATTGATTTTTTGTTAAAGAAAAACGCTGTTCTGGCTAAAAAAAAAGCTAAAAATACGGATTATAAGAGAAGCAATCAGGGACTAAGAGGAAGCAGAATACGCAGCACAGACGAACACTCGGCACACAGGTTGGTAATGAGGATTACCACCTGGAGCCACACACAGTTTGCTTAGTAGGCTATATTACAAATCGGATTTTGCGACTAGGAGGCAAAGCTCGATACAGCTACAGCAGCACCAGCAACACGTTTAGCTTCGTGTACCCTGCGAGCGAGCGTCGACTCCCTTGCTTCCTCTGTGATCTTGGACAGCAGCTGCATCGGCAGCAAGCTTGGCCCTCCAAATGTTCTTGCATTTCGCTCTTTCCAGATTTATTTATCAACCAACGAGAAAGAACAGGGAGTCAAAGCCCAGTCTTGCTATCTTTGGAACAACAACCTTCCTCTGAAGAAGCCATCAGGTGAAGATAAGTTAGGCCTGTTTTGTAACACTACTTCAGCAGTACTTTTCAATGAACGAACAGTGTTTTTCTCTCGCAACAAATTAGCATAAGCCAAATTTCAGCGAAACAAACGAATTTCGATGATGCGCTCCAAGTTCAACCTCCTGGGCAAAAATTTAACATTGTCTCGCTTGGCAGCTTATAAGCCGACTTTTTCGACCAACGAGCAAACAAATCAGCCAAAAATACTTTCAGCCATGATGCTTATCGAATTTCGACATGACCTATATAGTATTTTCAGGTTGTGTTTAGTTCAACCTTTGGGAAGACGGAAATTTGGCAATTAGTGTTCAATCATGGACTAATTAGAACCAAAGAATCTAACACAACCAGCATTAGTTTTTTCGATTTAATTAGCATTTCTATCCATATGATGGTTTAAACGGTACAATGCCTCATTTTGAACCAAAGAATCTCACCAGGCGATCGGTTCGTCGGCTCCACCGTTTTTAAACGGTAATTGCGTTGTCACCAGGCGATCGATCGTCGGCTCCGCGGGATCACGCAACCGTCGCTCTAGTCTTCGCTAGGGCCGCTGCTGTCCAGGTAAGGTAGGATCGTAGGAGCGTTCTCCAAGCGGAAAGCGGGCACTCGCTATTTACGGCACGCATGCATCGTCGTCGTCGTCTCAAATTAAAAATTTGACAGATCTCAGGCCAATTTATGATGCATGTACAGTACATTATAGGGCTGTAAAAAGAACACTCGCGAGTCGCGAGTACTACCCGGCCGAATTGTCCTGGTGATCGAGGCTCATTAACCCACACCAGCACAGCACATGATGCACGCCACGGCCACTGTCCTGATCCCCTGACCGCTGTACCAGCCGTCCAGCCTTCATCTGTGACCAAAGCCACCCGGCTGGCATGTAACGTGCAACACGTACGCCTTCATACATGCATGGCTGTACTAGCTAGATCGATACCGTACGATAGTAGTAGTACGTACGGCTCGATCATGCATGCATATCTATCCATGGCGCGGCCAGCACTCGATCTGCACTCATTTCCTCTCATCAGGCAGCTAGATAACACCAACCCGGGTGCCCTCGCCCGGCTGCCAAACTTGGCCATCGCCATGCGCCAACGCAAAAGGCCCAGGATCGACCAGCAATAACCACATGTACACCAGAAATGTATTTTAATAAATAACCATATGGGCACCAGAAATGTATTTTATTTCCGTTTTATTTAGTATACCATCTGGTGGTGCTAGAACCCAAAAAAAAACACGCAACTGTGTACGCAGTCTGAAAATTCCCTCGCTCGTGCTCTGCCAATGGGGTCACACACGGAGACAGTCCTCCTGACAGTGCAAATCGAGGTGAACATTCTTCTGCTATCCTTTGTTTTTTTAGTAACGAAAAGAAAAATGATCACGAAATGCGGTGGAATGGAAAGCGGGCACCGACCATCTCTCCGTCCATCGCTTCGAAACGGATAAATATAAATAAAAATAAAATTAGTCGCCGACGGCCGAACACGCCAATGGCGGCGAACCTTTGATGGTTTTAATTCAAAAGCTAGCGTGTAGCAGTGCCCTTCTTCTCCATCCATCTCCATCTGCCACTTTGACATTTTGCTGCACCATTGACATCTAAACAACCCTCTTAACTCCTCCCCTCATCACAAATCATCCATCCACCCACCCAGCTGCACCCTCGCTCCATCGCTTGCGCCAACCATGCGTGTGCACGCACATGCACGAGTCGCCGACGGCCGAACACGCCAATGGCGGCGAACCCGTGATGGTTTTAATTCACTTAGGGTCTGTTTAGCAGTGCCCTTCTTCTCCATCCATCTTTATCACATTAACTTTGGCACTGCATGCACCAAATGTGCAGTAAAAAACTCCTCCCAATCCAGTCATCCATCCACCCACCCAGCTGCAAACTTTCCTCCTTTATTAATTCCAGCGCCAGACACTAATGCATGGACACAAACCTCCGTCCCCCACCACAAACCCAAAAAATTTAGATAGCCACGCACTAATGCTAGCTCTGATCAGCTCAGTGCTCAGCTCCTTACAGTCCTACCCCGTAGCTTCATTGCACTGCGGCCACGGCTATATAAAGCCGCTGAGCTGCGAGGCCACTGCACCGCGGCTTCGAGCAGCATCTTTCTTCAGGAATACTCCACAGCTAGCTAGCTATAGCAGCCATGGGGAGCAAGGGGGTGGTGGCGCTCGCGCTGCTGCTCTGCCTGAGCAGCGCGGCCGTCGGCGCGTGGGCTCGCCCGGTCGCCACCAAGGACAAGGACGCCGCAGAGGACGAGAAGTTCCTGTGGCTCAAGAAGCACTTCGGCAAGGGGCCGGCTTGGGAGGCGGTTACGGCGGCTATGGTGGTGGTGGCGGGGGAGGCGGCGGCGGCTATGGCGGAGGAGGTGGCGCTGGGCTGGGTGGCGGGATCGGCCACGGCTTCGGAAAAGGTGGCGGCCTTGGAGGTGGCATCGGCCATGGCCTTGGTGGCGGGTACGGTAAGGGTGGAGGCCTTGGTGGCGGGATTGGCCATGGCATTGGCGGCGGGTACGGCAAGGGTGGTGGCCTTGGAGGAGGGATCGACCACGGCATCGGTGGAGGCTACGGGAAGGGCGGCGGCCTCGGCGGAGGCATCGGCCATGGCCTGGGCGGTGGCTACGGAAAGGGTGGTGGCCTTGGCGGTGGATACGGCAAAGGCGGCGGCCTCGGCGGCGGCATCGGCAATGGCATCGGTGGAGGCTACGGGAAGGGCGGCGGCCTCGGCGGAGGCATCGGCCATGGCCTGGGCGGTGGCTACGGAAAGGGTGGTGGCCTTGGCGGTGGATACGGCAAAGGCGGCGGACTCGGCGGCGGCATCGGCAATGGCATCGGTGGAGGCTATGGCAAAGGCGGCGGCCTCGGCGGTGGGCATGGCATGGGTGGCGGCTTTGGTAAGGGTGGTGGTCTTGGCTCCGGCGGTGGCTACGGTGGCGGCTTTGGCAAGGGCGGTGGTCTTGGCAGCGGCGGTGGATACGGTGGCGGCGCTGGCGGTGGCTCCGCCGGTGGTTTCGGCAAGGGATTTGGTTTCGGGTTTGGCAAGGGCGGCGGGTTCGGAGGCGGGGGAGGCGGTGGTGGCAGCGGTGGAGGCATTGGCATCGACGGTCAGCACTGATACGTCAGCAGCGTACATTTCCTGCAGTTCTTCTTCTTGGGCTTTGTATTTCGTACTCAGATGGTGGGTGACAGGTGGTGAAAGTTTGCAGTTCCGGCGGGTTGTTGGTTGTGTGTCCTCTTGTTCGTGTTTTGTACCTTGTCATTAATTTGTGTGATGGTGATATCAATTATCAATGTACGTACTCCATGCTCGCTCCCTGAATGACTCGACAAATATAAATTAAGGCCATGTTTAGTGCGTCCAAAATCCAAATTTAGACATTAAAATTTTTCTTCGTGTCATCAAACTTGTGTTACGTGTATGTGATGTTAGGATATTAATATAAAAATAAATTATTAGATTGTACTTTGAGATCTGAATTTATTAAGTCTAATTAATCCGTTATTGGCAATTATTACCAAATAAAAACAAATAGCACAAATGTTATTAGCACTCATATGTTAATGTAGCATAATAATAAAAACAAATTGTTAAATCGCTAGGACCAATTTATTAGGTTTAAAAATTTTTTTAGTTTGGCTCTAAGCACTTTCGTTTTGTATTTGGCAATTAGTGTCTAATTATGGACTAATTAATTAAAAGTTTAGTCTATTTAATATTCTATTTTCATGTATTTTAATATTCTATGAGTAAATATTCAATGATAAGCAAAAACCAAAAATTTTGAACTAAACGCCCTGAATTTGAATTGATGCAGCGCGCTCGGACAGTAAAGCGCAGTGTGTCAGGTTCGCACAACATTGTCAAATCACGGACAAATTATCCTTGTATTTTTCACTCTTTTTTACTACTAGTAGTACTATATAATTAGTTATTTTGAGTCTATTTAATACTTTATGTATGTGTCTAAATATTCGATGGATAAATATTCAATGGAATAGAGAGTAAATTTTAGAGCGAGAACCAGTCTAAATGAAGCTAAAGCCTCGTTTGAATTTGAATTGATGCAGCGTGCTCGGACAGTAAAGTGCAGGCTGTCAGGTTCGCGCAAGAGTTAACAACGCTGTAGTACTATCCGTGCATTTTTCACTTTTTTTTACTACTAGTAGTACTTATTCTTCTTGCAAGAAGGTGTGTTCAGTTGGAGTATCAAGCTGACAGCCGGGCACGACTTGAGCGGTTTAATTCATTGGAGTGCCTTCGCATATTTTCTCCCCAGAGTAAAGGCACAACTTGCGCGTCTGCTTTGAATCTGAGCAGGAGAAACTAGCGTTGTACTTACTGTACAATTTTTCATAAATTAAAAAAAAACAATACTTCCTTTATCATTGCTATAAGGCAAAGACGAAGTAGTATGTCCTGTTCACTCGAAATACAGCACGAAGATTACTGGGCTCACCAGTACGACTGTAGGAGGTGGAGCCTGCTCGCTTCCAGAGTCTTGGCCACTTCTCGGTGATGCCTGCTGAAGGTGTTTTGAGCACCCGGCGGAAGTGGTGGTCAGTGGCACTGAATACCGCATGCTCCGTCACTGGCTACATAGGCCCACGGACAGGTCTGAGTCAGGATTCAAAGGGACCTTAGTGTCAACAAACTCGGCTAGAGAAATCATCTTGGTTGGTGTTAGCTTTAAAAAAAACCTATCCATTATTCTTAACGTTCTCATCTTAGGTAAATGCAAAACACCTAGATTGAAAACATAAAAAAAATATTATTCATGGAATGAACTAAAAAATTTGGCCACATATATTATTTAGCAATTCAAACTTAGACCTGCGATGTGATTGGAGATTAGCTTATCTGTTGCCTGCATAGGGCGACACTGGAGCACATGGACGTATGTGTTGGAATCGCAACTCCTCCATTGGAACTGTAGGACAACGGTGGTGCGCGGTTCTGCCTTGTAGCTTGTCGGCGGTGTCTCCGTGTCAAAGGGGCATCCATCAGCAAAGATAGAGCGACAGACCGATGAACACACGCGACGACGACGGTCGGGATTCCAAGAAGGGTTATTTGCATGGGTACCTTCCAATTCTCAGAATTTTAAGATGCACCATTAAAATTCATCTATTTTAAAATTTATCATTATAATTTAACGTTTTACTTAGTTTTGCCGTTTTTTACGTCTTCTAGCTACTTGGGCCCACTGGCAAGCGTACGCGTACTGTTCGCATTTCTGTATGGACGTATTTGCCCCTGTCCCGAAGTTGAAAGAGCCCTACACCCGTGGCCCCATCTCTCAGTCTGTTCTCCTCCTCGCGCTCACTCTGTGTCTCACTCTCTCGTCCTCCCGACGCGGCGACGGTGGCGGAACCCTAACCCTAGCCGCCGGCATCCTGGAGCCCGCGCCCGCGCCCGAGTCAACTGCCGCCACCGCCCAACTCCACTGCCGCCCGCGCCCGAGCTGTCCTCCCATGGCCCCATCTCTTGGTCTGTAGGCTCTGCTCCGTGGCTGCGCTGAGCTTTTGAAGCCATGGCCGGGCGGTGGACTGGAAGCCCAATGAAGGTACCTTCGACGGGCTCGAGCGCGACAGCCAGCGGCAGAAGGGAGTGCCCTTATTGCCATGTTCCTTTGGTCCGGATCTAGAGCAAGCAGCCGGCGACAAAGGATCAGTGGTTTCTCACGTGCCCGTACAACATTAAGGTTATGATTCTTGATATTGTTGACCTCACTGTTTCTCTTGATGCTACTTTGATTGATGTGTTTTTGTGTGCAGGGTGATCATACTACCTGCGGCTTCATCTGCTCTGAGTTGCAGATTGAGGCCTTGGAAGCAAAGGAACGCCGGTTGTAGACTGGTAATGAGACATCATCTGACTGTTATGCCGAGTTGAAGGAAGAATTGCAAGAGTTGAAGCAAACTGTGGATAGTGTTGTAGCTGATATGTGGAAACTGAAGGTCCAACCTGCTGAGCGAAAGCTGAGCTGGACACGAAGAAATGCCATATTGTGCTTGATTGTTCAGTTGTATCGCCAGTTTTTTTGGCTTTATAGGTGTCCTGATTGGTGCATTTGTTGTTGCTGTTATGTGGAAGTGAACAGCTAGAATGTGTGTTAGTCAGCTAATGTAAGTGTGGGTTAGCTAATGTGTGACCGTGTGTATGTATGTTATCCTATAATTGAATTGAAATGAAATATGTTATGTTGAATCAATTGACATATTGTGTTCTGAATACCAGATATCTTCTTTTCTTTCTCGAATCTTCGAGCATTAGATCTACTTCTTTTATTCTATGTTCAAAGCATTTTCTTGCCTTCCAAGCACTACTCTCCAGTTCTTGAATATGTGTCTTATGATATTCCCGAGCTAATGAAAGCTCTTGCCTGAGTTTTGATATTATATTGTCACTATTCTCCTTGTCCTTCTGAAGCTTAAGCAACTCCTCATTTGTAGATTCTAACTGGTTGTGGTTCACTAGGACAATTAGGCCTGAAGCATTGAGGAAGTTTGGAGAGACGGTGGAGAAATGCCTTGCAGAGTATGGTGTCGAGCGTCCTACCATGGGGGATGTGCTGTGGAACATGGAGTTTGTGTTGCAGCTACAGGAGGCAGGTCCAGACATGTCCAACATCGACAGTATGAATCAGATCTCTGAACTCCCTTCAAATACAAACAGAGTAAGCTCCCTGGATATCAGCACTACAAATCAAAGCCGTATGCCGATCGAGTACTCTGACATGTCGACAAGTAATGCCTTCTCATAGCTAATCAATGCAGAAGGAAGGTGAACTAGATAGAAGTGTTCCAGAGGCACTGAAAAATATAGAAGGAAGGTGAACTGGATAGGAGTGTTCGAGACACTGAAAAATGTTGAGTGATAGAAGTGTTCGAGACACTTATACAAAACTGAGCATAGCGTACCAGCATATCAGGTTCACAACCACTTAAATCAACATAATAGCATACCAGGTTCACAACCATACAAGGTTCTAGCACTCTAACTACAAGGTTCTAGGAATCCAACCACAATGTTACACAAACAACAAGGTTCAATTGCTGATCTTACAAAAGTATACCAGTAGCAGCATACAAGTTCTCTTTTTATTACAAAATCATATCATAAGCTACTGACAAGCTCTAGTCTTCATAGACTAGCCTCCTAAGGCTACTAACAATAGTAGTAGGTGGGTTGGTTGTAGCCTTCTTGAGCTTCTTCTTGATGGGTGTCTTCTTCTTCTTTGGTGTGCCCTTCTTCTTCTTCTGAACTTTATGTTTCTTGGCTTGGGAGGGACCAGCTGCATCTATTGGAGCTTCTTTCCTACATTTTAAAGGTGACATTACATACTGTGAAGTGAAAAACAATGAGACAAATTTAGTGCACAGAAACATACCTTTTGTTAGCCTTGTTCCTTGGTGGAGCTCTCTCACCATCTTCTCTAATCTCTACCTGTTTGCAAGTTTTTGAAAAGTGGCCAAAATCTCCACATCTCCTACATTTGACCTTCTTTTTGGATGCTCTTGTCTCTAAGCAACCTCTTTGCCTTTGAACCTTTGGTCTTCCTACTCCTCTACCTAGCAATGGTGGATACACTTTGAATCCAAGTTCCACAACAGGCCATTGTGACCTATCTAGGATAGGTTCAATTCTGTCCTCATAGGTTGCCTTGAACCTAGCCACTAAGTAATACTCATGGACAAAATCTTCAATTTTCACCCCTCTGTTGGACATGATCCATGCCAAAGCATGTTTGTAGGGCTTCCCTATCAACTGCCACTCCCTGCAGGAGCATTTATGGTTCTACAAGTCAACTGTTTGTCTTTTCTGATTGTTCCACTCATCCAAGATGGTCACTTCTGCAATGTCAACATCACTAACTGATACCTTGACCACTTTGAGGTTATTGCTGATCAAGTTGAGCTCCTTCATCACATTTGGGAGTATTCCATCTGTCCACTGCCTAGCAAGCATCTTCGTAGTGTATCTTTTCTCCATGATCAGCTCTCTGATTCTGTCAACTAATTCATGCAGTAGCAGACATTTGAACTTCTTTATTTGTGCATTGAAGCTCTCTAAAACATTATTTGTCAAGTAGTCACACTTGTTGTTTTCTGAAAATGCACACCTGTACCAGATCCTATTATGGTGCTCCTCAAGGTACTCAATGGCTTCAGGTGCAAACTCAAAAAATTTCTTCATGTGCCACTGAAACAGCACTTGTGTGTAGCTTCTAGCTATAGGGTACAAGTGATTAGTGAACACCTCACCAGAATACTTCTTCAAAAAATTCTGATACAAATGCCTCATGCACTCCTTGTTTTTAGCTTGTGGGAAGACAGACCCCACTTCAGTCTCTAGCCCTTTACATGCATCTGTACATATAACCAGATTTGGAACATCTCCTACAACCTTATGCTGCTGCTGCAGAAACCATTTCCAATTATCTTTAGTTTCTGACTCGAAAATTGCATAAGCTATATGATACAACCAATTGTGTCCATCCACACCAGTAGCTGAAGCTAATTGACCCCTGAATTTACCATGCCAACAGGAAGCATCTACCCCAATAAAAGGTCTGCAACCAGATAAGAATCCATCCACACATGGTCTAAGAGCAACAAACATCCTCTTGAATCTGTTTTTTGTGCTAATCTTCTCTAACTCTATCTCTACTAAGCTACCAGGGGATACTTTCTCAATTTGAGCAGCCCAATTAAAAAGCAACTAAAAACTCTCCTCATATTTATCATGGATCTGCTCTAAAGCTACCTTCATACCTGACCATGCCTTGGAGTATTTCAACTTAATGCCACAACCACACTCCAATTTGTCCCTGCAGTCAGTTGCACCTTTGGTTGGATTCTTCTTTAGCTAGTCTACCAACCTATCTACACACCAACCTTGGGTGGCCATCTTCCCTTCTCTGAGTTTTATGGTAGGACAATTGTGTTCAAAAGGTAGCCTTTTGATCTACACAAACAAATGCAATAGGACATTAGCTGCATAAATAACAAATTTAATAAACAAACAACTCCAATAGTAATGACAAATTTACCTCTATTGTCTTGCCATAAGAATTTCTAGAAGCATGTATACGCCAAGGACATCCCTCTGCTTTACACTTGGCAATAAATCTAGTCTGATCAGTTTGTAGATTAGCAAACTCAAAGCTTGTCTTCACTGCATGATGCCTAATTGCCTTTCGAAATGCAACAATATCAGGAAAGAGCCCTCCTTTCACAATATTCGGGTTTTTTGGATCATGAATCACATGGACCTCCTGTGGATCTGCATCATCAATCTCTGCCTCAAGAGGAACACCTTCTTCAGCAGCACCAGAATCATTTGCATCAGCATTAGCACATGGTTGTGGGTGAGAACTGTTAGCAGCCTGTGCATTGTTAGTGTACTGATGAGGAGGTACTGGCATGTACATTCCCTCATCATCGACACCCACATACTTCTCATTATCAAACATGTCTGGCTCCCTGTCAGGTTCTAGTTCAGGCTCTAAAGGATACTCTGGTCCTTCATCTGGCTCAGTAGTAGGCTTGGTAGCAGGGCTAATAGGAGGATTAGGCTGCTCAGCAGGATCTGGAATAAGATTCTCATGCCTATTGGGATCTATAATAGGATTCTCATGCTCAACACGAGGAATCACACAAAGAGGCTCTAGGGTAGCAAACTCATCAATATCTGCAACTTTTCTTTCAAAAACTCCTACAACAACTTGGCAATGCATCTAATCCTTATACATTTCAAACACATCATTCAGCTGGAAGTCATTAACTAGTATGACGTCTTCACACATCCTTTTGTCAAAGAACCACACACAAGGACTCTAGGTAGGGGACCATTTGAACTGATTGGTCAAGCTTTGTACCAGCAACTCAAAAGTGAATGATCCTACCTCTATATCCCATTTAATCACACTACCCTTCGTTTAAGCTTTTCTACCATTACTGTCTGTAGTACAGAAACCTTCAACTTTAATCTCTAAGGAGAACAATCGAACCCTAGCAGCAAACAAACAAGTCGCAAAAAAATACACTAGGGTCAGCGTAATTCCTCGACCTACTCGCATCGCTACTCAGACTCAAGAGATTGAAGGTTGGAGATCCATACCTCTCCTCACCGTGCTCCATGTCCACGGGGTCATCCATTGCGCTCAATGGAACACCATCGTGAGGTCGCTGGAGAGGCTCCAATCGTCCGGGATCTGGGAGGATAGCTCGGGCGCGGGCGTGGGCTCTAGGACGCCGGTGGCTAGGGTTAGGGTTCCGTCGCCGTCGCCACGTCAGGAGGACGAGAGAGTGAGAGACAGAGTGAGAGAGAGGAGGAGAACAGACTGAGAGATGGGGCCACGGGCGCAGGGCTCTTTCAACTTCGGGATAGGGGCAAATACGTCCATACAGAAAATCGAACAGTACGTGTACGCCTGCCTGTGGGCCCAAGCAGCTAGAAGACGTAAAAAATGGCAAAACTTAGTGAAACATTGAATTATAATGGTAAATCTTAAAATAGGTGAATTTTAATGGTACATCTCAAAGTTCTGAGAATTGTAATGGTACTAGTCTAAATAACCCTTCCAAGAACGGGCACGAAGATGAAACGAGTCAAAATATAAAATGGTTGCAGCCAAGCTGAGGACACCAACGCAAGTTATCATGGATTAATTAGGTTTATTAATAGATTCGTCTCGCTAATTAGCCACGGATTCTGTAATTAATTTTATAATTAATTTATGTCTAGTCCTTTTAGTTAGTATCTGAACGTCCGATGTAACATGAACTAGGCCCTGGCAGACCCGCCCTTAGGCCTTCTGCCGTGTGCAAGCGAAGCGAGAAAAAAAGGGCTCTGGTCAGAAAATTAAATAAGGCCTTGTTTAGTTTCAAAAAGTTTTTCCAAAAAATGCTACAGTAACCATCACATCGAATCTTACGATACGTGCATTGAGCATTAAATGTAGACGAAAAAAAACTAATTGCACAATTTGGTTGGAAATTGTGAGACGAACGTTTTGAGACTAATTAGTCCATGATTGAACACTAATTGCCAAATAAAAACGAAAGTGCTACCGTTCCAAATAAAAACGAAAGTGTTAGCAAATTTTCAAAATTTGTCCAACTATACGAGGCCAAAGATTGAACTCCTTGGCTGCAGTGTGCAGAAGAATTGAACCGCACCATCTTAATGAAGAGACTAGACCCACTTGAAATAAAATATACCTTCTCAGTTCTCATGACCACATACTTCCTTTCCTGTTTGTCCCGGCGAAGAGAAAGAAATGCTTTTTATTGAATGGGCCGCATCGGTTAGAATAGCACCACCAGCTATAGTGTGAAAAGGTTGCAGAGGGCCTTGGAACTGGAACCTCGTTACCTAAAAGTTTTTTTTTCGCAACTGTGTGTATACCCATTTTTCATTAAGAGGAAAAGAATTTAAACCTCGTTACCTAAAAGTTTGACTATAGTTCTGGTGCACGTGTTCATGTTGTTGTAATCATGACCATAAAACTGGAACCTTATTACCAAGGCACTTGAGATCGTGCTACTTGTTGTGGCATTAGGATTCGCCACCAAGTTCTACTCGTTCCGCAACCAAACTCTCTTATCTATTGGGATATCCATACCTATATCTCTAATTCGGGATGGGTAATTAGTGAGTACGAGCATGGTGACCTGTGGGGCTCTCCAACGACATCCTTATTCTTTACGATATGCTTTCATGATTCTCCTCTTTGGCTAAGGTAGGGATCTAGAGCACATTTGGTTCGGCAAGCCTCACCTCTCCTTATCTAGCCAGAAGTTGGTGAAAAAACACATTTAGTTTCCTTGTGGTATTGCCTTAAGGTCCGTGCAAGAGAATTTTTTTCTCTGACTCGAACAAGTCAAATGAGATCGCCGGGATCGATAAACTTAGCTTCGCTTGGCTAAGAGTAGGCAAAGCTCGCTCCATGTCCAACTAAACATGCACTCCTTTTGTCGGGCATAGCTAAGGTAGCTAGACAAGGCTAGCTTTGTACCATACACAACCCCAACCTATTGTAATAACCACCTTTTTTTTGTTCACCTTATGATTTAAGAGTATTTTCTCTTTGTAATAAAATAGATAGGTGAAGCTTTATAGTTTGTTAAAAAAGGAGTTGCATGTGTGGTCGTTTTTTGTATATCATTTTAATTTAGTAACTCATGGACTAACATTATATTGTGCACACATACATGGTGAACAAAATTAGTGAAAGTCAAAACATGTACTTAAATGCATTTACAAATGAAGTACTCGTTAATCACATAAAGCGTCTTCAAGAACTCCTTAGAACAACTCTCTAATTTGTTTTTTAAAAGAAGGAAAAAAACACTCTTAGAGTTTTCTATCTGAATCTTTGAATATAAACATTTAGTAAATCTCCTCATCAACTCACAAATATAAGCATGCATTCGGTTCTTACTACCCGTTTAGGCACCCCTTCGTCCCCATTGTTTTCGAGTGTTTTTCCTCCCAATCTCATTCTCGTGCACGTTATCGAGTTTTCAAACTAAACAAAAATAGAGCTCCCTAATCATTTTACACTAGTATTAATTTACTAATTTTTTTTTTGAAAGTTTTTGAGATACCAAACGGTAGTCTATTCGTGTTTTTTTTTTTAAAGTAGTCTATTCGTGGGTAAACAGTAAACTCGTGTTGATTCGGCAGGAAAAGCAGCCGTACCAGCTGGGCCCTTGGAGGAGAGGCCTGGACTGGAAGGCCTCCAGTCTCCAATTCTCCATGGCCCACAACATCAACAAGAAGACAAAAAGCGCAAAAGCTCGCGCCACGAAATCCCCAGACTGCCCCTGAAAACCCGCACCAAAACGGCAAAACCCCACCTGCTTCTCCAGTTCTCCCCCGCTCCGCTCTTCCCCCACGCTTCACTTTCTCCTCGTCGAAAACCCCACAACCACCGGCCAGACATGGCCGCGGCGAAACCCCAACCCCAATTCTCGCCGCACGCCGCCTCCCCGGCGCCCGATGCCGGACCCGCCGACGCCGATGCCGGTTTCGTCGCCTTCCACCTCCTCCTGCCCCCGTCCTTCTCCGACGCCGACACCATGCGCCTCTACGCCGCCGTCAACCCGCTGCGCCGCCGCACCGCCGCGCTGCAGGTCCGCGTCGAGCCCCTCAACCCGGCCTCCGCGGGCGGCCGCGTCGTCGCCGCCGTACTTGGGCCCGCCGCCCCCGTCCGCCGCGTCGAGGCCTCCTCCTCGTCCGCGGAGCCCCTCGCGCTCTCGCCCGCGCAGGATGCGCTGGTCGCCGTGATCGATACCCAGGGGGCGCTCTACTGCGCCGGCGAGGAGGAGGCTCGCGGCAAGGCCCCGCCCGGGCGCGTCACGTGCCTGCTCCTGGTCGATGCCGACCGGCTCGAGGCGTCGGCCGGGAGAGGCGTCATGGAGAGGATCGCGCTGGAGGCCGGCGCCGACGTGCGCGTGGCGATGTGGGAGGAGGGCGCGCTGCCGCCGCGGGGGCAGCCGCCTGAGGAGGTCGTCGAGGTATACTAACCATTTTCTCTTCTACGATTCTATTAAGCTGGTGGTTGTACCACGTGCTACACTTGATACTTCCTAATTGTTATTGTGCACTGTGCATTGCAAATCCTCCCTTTTTGTTTTTTTGGGAGATGTGCGGATTATGATTACATACTGTACGTGAACTCACGCGTTTGGACTAGTGCCGTGTCATGGAAAAAATGATTGAGCGTCTTTGTTTACATGGAGAGGGGAGTCCTAACTATAATAATATCAACAACATAGAAAAGTGCAACTTGTTTGCTCTTTGCTGCCGTATCATCAGGTATAGTTGTTTGTTGCTATGCAGCAGAATTACCTTTATGGATGATTCGCACAAGCTTGCACAATGTGAAGTCCATGGAACTGATTTCTCACACCGAGGTAGTGTCAAAGAAGCTAACAATACCCTTGAGCTTCTTTTGGATTTGACATGCTGTGCGCTTTTTTTTTTCCAGTCTGATATTATTTTGTTGAACTCGATCCATTTTGTTCTCAACTTCTCATCACAGCATTTTAGTTATGATTCTTTCAGTGGTGCATTCTTACCAACTGGAGTTACAGCATGAGTCCATTTCTGTATTTGTTTCCATGTTGGAAGAAAAAGTATGAGTAACTAATAGGCTAGTATAGGTCTATAGTATCTAGGCCAATGAATCACATAGATAACAAAACTTTGTTCTTGTATCACCTGAAATACTGTAGCAATGAATAATCCAGTTGGTTTCTGATTCTTTTGCTGCAAAACGAACTTATGCATAAAATGGCTTGCTAAATTATCAGGGACTCCCATTGAACTTTTTGTTTGAAAGGTCTGTTCTGTGGAGTTTTAATTAGATCATATGAAACTCAGAAAATGCTTAATTACCAAGAAAGTTTATTGCTGTGATTTGCTACTCAACAGTTTCAGTTGGTGTTTCTTATTATTTTTCAGATAACTGGAGATAGAACAGCTGTAAGGAAAGCTCTAGTTGCTTTGTCTAGCTGTCTTCAAGGTGACCTTCCAATCGGTAACTCAACAACTTATGTTAAGAAAGAAGGTTCAATACTCCCATGGGCATCTTCAGAAGTGCCTGAGCCTAATATGGGAACTTCGTGCTCAGAGGCATCCACAGAGTTTGCACAAGGCAGTGTCGCTAAGACTCATTGTCCAGAAGGTAACACAGGAGATGTTCAAAGTAAAACCCTTCAGCAAGTTTCATTCAGACTTCTCTTGCCTATCTATCTTGCTGGAGGTTTGATTGGCAAGAAGGGCTTGATTATCAAAGGCATTGAAGATGAAACTGGTGCCTGTATTGATGTTGGTGCACCTGTCACTGGTTGCAAGGAGCGTGTAATAACAATTTGTGCCCTAGAGGTTTGAATTTGAACACTAAAGGCTCCTTTTCCCATTGCTATTCTCTCTTTTAGAGCCCATGTTTAACTGTTTGTTTGATAAGGTAACAATTTTCACAATGGTTAAGTGGCTGATCTACATCTGTCTATGAATCTAGAAACTTTGTATTATTCTTTTTGTGAATCATATTGTACATCTCATTCATTTTATATATTTGATTTCTGTTCCTTGTAGAGCCCAGACTCGGAATATCATATAGTGCAAAGTGCACTACTTCTTATAT